GGAAGGGCAGGGTGAGGGTTTATGGCAAACTCTCGCCACCCTTCAGTATCACCAGCGGTGTGAGACAAGGATGCCCGCTGTCACCTTTCCTCTTCAACTTCGCTATTGATGAAGTCATGGAAACAGCGTTCGCTGGACACGACCTAGAAGGTGTGGAGCTACTCCCTGGTGAGCGACTTCTTGACTTGGAGTATGCAGACGATATTGCCCTAATCTGTGACGGCTCCCAAACATGCCAAACAGCACTGAACCGATTAGCACTGGCTCTCAGTCGTTTTGGGCTATGCTTTGCTCCATCAAAATGCAAAGTACTTCTCCAAGATTGGCAGGGACCCAATCCTGCGCTAACGCTTGGTGGTGATCTGCTAGAAGTCGTTCAGGAATTCAAGTACCTGGGCAGCTATATTAGCACCCGTGGGATTGAAGATGAGGTTACGAACCGTATAGCAAAAGCTCGAGGTGCTTTTGACAATCTCCGCCACCTGTGGCGCAGACGCGACATTACTCTCGCCCTCAAGGGCAGAGTTTACAACGCAGCCGTCCGTTCAACTCTCCTATATGGCTGTGAAACCTGGCCCATCAGGTCGACAGACATGAAGAGACTCGTCACCTTCGATCATCGCTGCCTTCGCAGCTTAGCTCATGTCTGGTGGGAACACCGCGTGAGCAATGAGCGTGTTCGACGTCGCGTATTTGGTGCAGGAAGAGCGAGTGAACCGCTCAGCACGATTATATCACGCACCAGGCTCCGATGGCTGGGCCACGTCTTGCGCATGCCAGCACACCGACTCCCACGACGTGCATTGTTTGCGCGTTGTGGGTGCGGTTGGAAGAGGAGGAGGGGAGGCCAAGTGATGACTTGGTCGCGAGAAATGAAAACCCTCACTTCGAAGTTGGCGTCGGTTGGTGCATCCCGACTGCCTGGCTGGGGTCCTAAGGACGGTGAACACGTTTGGCTGGACACACTTGCTGATATGGCTAGGAGCCGGCCCCAATGGCGTTTGTGTTGTGAGTTCCTTTGTCCATCCCCCTCCTGTTTAGCATCCCCCTCCAATCACGATCTCAATCGTTAGGCATAATATGACTTTCTTTTACGGCAGCCAGCTGTTAGCTCTCCGGAACGATGTCCATCCGTTACTGGGGACTCAGCGGGCGTGCCACTGTTTGTTTGTTTTTTCTTTTCTTGCCTTTTGTATTGCGGCACAATAGCTGAGGTGTTTTCCACCTCCAGCTAACGTGTAATGATGATGATGATGATGATCTCCAGCTTTGCCATGAAGATATCCGCTAATAGCGGTCCGAGAGGGGATCCCATGGCCACGCCGTCCTTCTGCCGGTAGTATTTCCCGTTAAATAGAAACTGAACATTCCAGGTGCAGCGTAACAGTAGGCTCTTAAGCTCACGCGTAGGTATACACATTTTTATTCCTGACTCGGCTATATAGGCGCAAATGTAATCGATCGTCTCAAGCAATGGGACGTTTGTAAAAAGTGAGACGACATCAAAAGATAACATTAATTTCTCATTGATGATAACATCAATGCAGTGCAGTGCAGTGCAGTGCAGTTTACTTACGAGAAGGAAGGCGATAACCGGCTACCATATCTCGATGTCTTGTTAACAAGGAGACCAGATGGATCCATCCAGCGTCAGGTCTACAGAAAACCAATGTGGATAGGTCAGTACACGAATTTTTACAGTTTCGTCCCCATGAGATACAAACGCAACTTGGTTCACTGTCTTACGTCAAGAGCACGTCGAATCTGTACGGAAGACACCCTAGACGCGGAGTTAATGTTCATACAGAACACTCTACGTGAAAACGGTTATCCTGATAGATTTATCCTAAGGAACCTCCTAGAAAGACCGAAACCAGTGGCAGTGTTAACAGCGCCAAAGAAAGAGTTATTTATTCGCTTACCATTTAAAGGGGACGCGGCTACCGAGAGTCTAACCAGAAGCCTTTCGGCCGCGGTAAAGTCGACCTTTCCAGCAGCCTCGTTGAAGTGCGTGTTCTCAACGGAACCACTCATTCGTTCACAAAACAAGGACAAACTGCCGATGCTGACCACATCAATGGTGATTTATCAATTCGTGTGCCCCTGTGACGCGACGTATATTGGTCGCACGGCGCGGCACTTATCGAAACGCGTGAACGAACATTGCCCTCGCTGGCTTCGTCAAGGGGGCATCGGAATCATTAGTAGCGCCATTCTGGCCCACATTGTGGA